ATGGCTCAATTATAGCTTAATACTCATTACTACAAGTGTTGTGAGGGGAAAAAAAGTCTCTCTTCTAATGCACTTGTTCATGTAAACAAGACAGCAGGTTTCCTGAGTCAGAAAAAGTGTGTTCACGCTCAGTATGGCCGCTCTCCAGCTCAGGGAATTGGCCCAGCCCTGATGCAGCTTCCCTGCTGGATGGAGCATCACATTGTTCCCTCCCTTTCTATCAGGGAAGCATTAGGATTCCGGCTACTGTGCTTGAAATTGTGACTTGCTTTCTCAATCCTATTACAGGATTTGAAAGTGACTATGCATTTCTCTGAAGAGTCAAATTTATTTTCAGGAAGTGAAGTCATAGGCTGAACTGTGTTACAGTTCTTAATAATACAGGATTTCAGGGGTTGAATAAAACCCTCCTTGGAGGAAACTGAGGCATAGAAGAGTGACTTGTTCAAAAGTGCTTGGCACAGTTGAGAGTATAGCACACTGAGTCAGGTGGAAGGGAGGCAATTTTGGAGATTGCTTTTATCAAGAGCTTCTAGAACAGATTTTGGATCATTCATTCATCCATTTCCTTTACTTATTCAACAGAGCAGAATTGAATGCTATGTTTCAAGTAATGTACATGCTTGGGATTTGGGAGAACAAGACAAAGGAGGTTTCTATGCTCTTGGGGGTTATAGTATTGTAGGGAATATGGGCAACAAATGAGTCAATGCCTGGATGTTTGTGTTAAGAGCATACTCAGTGCATGATAGATAAAATTATTACTATCTCTGAGCTTTAATTTTTGTGTGCAAAAGATGGATAATACCAATTATACCAAGAGTTATTGTGTAGATTAAAGGAGATGATTGTTTATTACCCAGCATGGCATGCCAGTGCAGAGTCTTCTTACTTTGTTCCTTGTCTTTAAAATCGCCTCCCACCAGCCACTACCTTCGTAGAATCACACTCAGTAGGAGGGAACAAGGGTGCAGGTAGGGTGAGCACTGAAGAGTCAGTAGGAAGAGAGTGGGACTTGTGGGAAGTGAAAATGAGGAGGTGCAGAAGACTGGGGGTGTCTACACTGAAAACAGGCTGAGAGACAGGAGCACCCTTGTGGACCAGCAGGATGCTAGCTGGGAGGTGACAGATGGATAGGAAGAGAAGATGACACCAAATGATGGGATGAGTCCCATGTGTGTGCTGTTAGTTGTTGGGGACACTCTCAGACTACAGAAATTCACAGAAACAGTTCATTCATATGAAAGCCCTATTCTTCTGTACCCTAATCAAATCTTGACATTTGAATTTCTAACTAATTTTTAGGAAATAACTTTTCAGATTCTCATCATATAGCACTTGTCCAATATGAATAGAAATAATTACTTTGCTGGAGTGATTAGAATGCTCAAGAATAACTATAGACTTTTCCCCAATTTTTACTTTTAGATAAATGTCAGACATCTTCTTTAAAGTGCATTTGATTTCTTTTTTTTTTCTGAAGAATCATTAAAAAGTAGTAAAATATGATGAAGGTGCAGAGAAATGCTTGAAAATAATGGGAAATGTGCTTGAGAAGGAAGCCAAGTTGACCTGGTAGAGAAAATTTTGTCAGCAACGATTTGGTCACCAAAAAAGTAGGAGCTCTTCCTATTAATTTCATCTAAAAGAGACCAGCAGCAAGTGGTTGTGTTTTTCCCATATGTTTCTGGAAGCCTTTGAAATGGAATGGCTTACCATTTTCTGAATGGGGGCCCTTCATGATAAAAGAGGCACATAGGCTCTGAGAATAGGTGTTCTGGAGACCATGTGGCAGCCTGGTTACTCAGAGAGAGTGATCTCATTGGGGCATTTACCTATCTGAGCTTTAGTTTTTTCAACTCTGGACTGAGAATATCAAATTTACTCCAGGGATTATTTGAGGCTGCATGAGACAGTATATAGGATGCCAGGCACCACAGTTGGCACCTCAGTAGAAGAGGTAGGAAGAGATTGGTTGAATGGTCACCAGAATTAGGACCTGGAACTCCTGCACTCTCCAGCTTCCCTAGAGACACTCCTGGTAGACAGATACAAGGAAGGTCTCTATCTTTGTTTCTGCATGTTGTTGCCCAAAGCCAAAGGATGAAGTCAAACTGGATCACATAGAGCACTTGGGCCTCATTTTGACTAGAATAGAAAGCCCCGAGGTCTTCAATATCACTTTCCAACCACACAGCTTTTTGGAGGTCCACAAAAAAACCCATAAAGCCAACGTAGATTATCTGCTGTGATTTCACAGAGTGACTGTATTTTCATATGCAGCAAAGTAGGGGTTTTATGCTGGAACCTTCTAAAAAGGCTTTCCCCCCTTCCCAACATTTGCAGCTCATTAATCTTCAACAAAAAATGGATGAATGTTCTTTTTAGTGGCTTCCCCCAATGTCTTACAGCAATCTTACCACTCACATGAAAAGGCAAAGTAAGCAAGGTAAAACACAATATGGCACAGGATGGAGGCAAAAGGATTTGCATCAATGGCTGGAACAAAGCTGAACTAATCCCACTCCCCCTGGGGTAACCAGGCTGACATTTCTTGGGAGTGCTTCACTTAGAGGGGTTTTTGTTTGTTTGGTTGGTTTGGTTTTTTTGGCTTGTTGTTTAAAAAAAAAATCAGTCTTTGAATGATGCAATCTTTATGCTCTCAGGAAAGAGCCACTTGCATCAAAGGAACATCATATCCATATTTATTGAAATAGAGGAGAAACCCTAGCAGCTCTTTCCCAGGATTACCCATTCTAAGCCTGTGCTTTGGAAAAGAGGTAGCCAGTTATGTGAGCCAAATGGATCTCTCACCAAGAGAAGCCTCCTCATCAGCAAATCATTCTCTTAAATGTAACAGAAGTCCCCAGTCACTGTTATAACAGGCTCGTGGGAAGAGATGCTTCTTTGCATTTTGAGGGCTTCACATAAAATCTGGGTGTTTTTCTCAGTTCTGGTTCACACTCCATTACACACTTTAATGAACTGTATTGAAATTCTCAAATGAAGTCTTAAGATAAAGTCCTGCTGATTGTATTTATTTACCTTTAAAGTAAGCTGTTGACATCACTGCAACATGCTTGCTTTCTTTACTGAGAGATCATTATAATTATAATATCTAAAGATTTGTTAATGCAACTCAAGTCTAGAAGGAGGTAACATAAATTCTCCACCTAAGTGGAGAAGCAACATTTCATAGTGGAGAAGGTGCAGGATGCTATAGAGGAGGCTGAGTTCCAGCTCCTGGCCCCTCTTAAGTGAGAGGATTAGGCTTAAGGTTATCTAAGATTCTTTTTTTTTTCAGAATTTATTTATTTATTCATGAGAAACACAAAGAGAGGTGGAGACACAGAGGGAGAAGAAGGCTCCCTGTAGGGAGCCCGATGTGGGACTCGATCCCAGAACAGAAGGCAGAAGCTCAACTGCTGAGCCACCCAGGCGTCCCCCCCTTTTTTTAAAGTAGGCTCCATGCCCCATGTGGGGGCTTGAACTCACAACCCTGAAATCAAGACCTGAGCTGAGATCAAGAGTCAGACACTTAAGCAACTGAGCCGCCCAGGTGCCCCCCCCCCACCAAGATTGTTTTCAACTGTAGCTTTAAATATGTTCTATAACTTGAAATAGATTTTTAGTATAATCATTCAGGGGATAATAGAAACCTCTAGTCAACTTTCTTGATTGTCTACTTCCAGTGGAATTAAAAACTCAACTCTGAACTCAACGTTTTCAGGGAGGTACCCTTCGAGTATGAGATCCAGCACCAGAGAGTCAGGTGGGATGGCTGCTACAAGAGCTCTTCCACATGATTCGGAAATCCGCAGCTGTGTATTTGTGCAGACGGGTTGGTCTACTTATGAGATTAGTGTCCATTGCCAGTCAACCACATAGCACATGCCAAGCCTTTTAAACTAGATAGTACAATAACATTTTGTGTCATTTCAGATAAGAGCATTGCCTTATGCCACAATAACCACTTAAATTAAATACAAAGAGACACCCACTGAGCCCACGTAAATATAGCCTGGCTATTTTCCCCCAAATTCCTCCAAATTCTTCCTTTGATCTTTATTAATGCTTCTATTATAATCATCTTGCTAGCCTTTTCCATTGTCTTTGTCTATGCCAAAGTTTCTCAACCTCAGCACTATTGGCATTTTAGGGTACACAGTTCTTTGTTATGAGGGATGTTCTGTGCATTATAGAATGTTTTGTAGTGTCCCTGGCCTCTAATTATGAGTTGCCAGGAGAGTGCCACTGTCTCCAGTACGACAACCAAAAATGTCTCCAGACATGGCCAAAAGTCCTCAAGGGTACAAAATCACTTGGGGTTAACCACTAGTCTTTGTATCATCTTTTTTTAATTCTGATTTTTCTTTTGTGGGCATAAGACCAGTGCTATATCCTGAAGTGCTCAGAAATGATTATCCTGTTGTTATCATTCCTAACATTACTAACATCTTTCATTTATATACGATTTCACAATTTATCAAGTGTTTTCACCCACATTATTCATCAAGATTAATGCAAGGCAGCTCATTGTCTGTGACAAGTCAGAAAAAAGAAGCATCTTTTCTTTGATTGTCCCTGTGCCCTCTTCTCACTATACTTAGAATTTTGCTTGTTTGACAAAAGAGGTCTTGCCGTGAGGAAGGTGCATTTAGGACAAGTCAGGCTTTATGTAAATGAAATCTGCTGGGTCTTTTCAAGATATAAAAGAAAAGATGCTTAATCACCTTGAAATGTCATCCTTCTCTGTTGACAGGATCTACAGACTCTGAATACCTAGACCTCAACATCTACAACAATATACAACAGGTGGCTTCTTTGAACTCCCGGAGCCCTATGGCCCTTTAAAAGGATTCTGAAAGCTGCAATCCTCAGCCTAAACAGGACTGCTGCAGTTTTATCATGCTGCACTAGGTGAAACCAGATGGGATTTTTGAGAAAGAGAAATGAGCAAATCTCCCCCTCCCACTTCACTTCCTCCCCGCACCTCTTACCTGCTTAAGGATTTCAGCAGCTGTTCCATGTGAACAATCAAATATCACATAGAACTCCTTGCCCTTCTTCATCTCCTTGAGTAAAGGCTTGGCATCTTTATTCCCAGAGGGCAGCTGGCGGATTTTGATTTTAATGTTATATCTGGAGGGAGCTTTGATGAGCTCTTGCAGACGAATGAGACCTAGAAAATGACATCCCATCATGCAACAGACTGTTCTGTCTAAAGAGGATTTGTTTATTGCCATTTACAGTCAAACTCAGATCATTCCCAAAATGTATCAAGTGGCCACCTTCTGAAAGGTTACACTATTGACTTCTCATTTGTCATTTCCCTTTCTGTGGTAGATTATACTGTATTTTGTGGGTATGTGTAGTTGGAAACACAATTTTCCTAAGCGAATTTTGAATTTAGTTAAATGCATTTGTCCTCTCTAGCTTTTGGCCAATGGCACAAATCTTTAACGAACCAAGTCTGTAACTGTAAAACTTTTATAGACAAAAGTTGCTGGAAGTTTCCAAAGGTGTTCAATGGAATGGACAAAGCTTTTGTAAACAACAACAAAAACAAAAAACAAAAAACAAAAAAACAGACAACAGAAGACTAGAATTTCTTGGGTCTATAAACCTCTGTAAGCCTTTCATCAAGTATTTATGTATAGCATACTGCTTACCAGCTAATTAGCTGGGCTTTCTATATAATTTTCCAGTTCCTACCATATAAACCATTTAGAAATGGCTCATCACTTTCTCTTTCTAATATGATTGAACAATGAATTGAAAAATCCTTTCTTAATTAAAAAAAGACCATAGAGTTTTTAGAGATTATGATAATAAAAGCAGAAACAAAATTCCTTTAAAATCCACCATTGATAATTGTAGGAAAGTGTATAGACCCAACTAACTTGACAGAGAATGTTTGATTCACCATAAGTGTGAATCTACTGAGCTGCATCATTCTTTAATTGACATACTTTACTGGGGCAAGACAAACATCTGTATAAAGCCTGTCTTATTTCCCCTAACATTAACTTGTGATTGCTACAATGCATGATGTTGGCTCTCACTCAAGGACTCTCATCACATTGGAAAATTGAACTTTTAAAAAAATTACACCATTCTGTATCTTTAGGATTTGTCAACTTCAAGTAATCAATAGGAAATATGAAGCTTTATCAGTATTCAGATGGAAATTTTGGTATGCACTGTTACAGATGCCAGCTACCTCTGGCCTTGATACATGTCTTTCATTTTCTTGTTTTATTTAGTTATCTATCCCTTCACCCAGCCACATTTTTTTGTGGCTCAGATGTTAAAAGATTCCTCTAACATCTTGGATAGGTTGCATTCTGAAGTACATAGAATAACTTTATAATTAAGCTGCTCTTCAGAGTCAAAAGGATGCAAGCAATTGGAGGGTAGTAGTGGTTAGGATCTGTAGAACCATGACAAGATTTATCGCTCATTATTTTTTAAAAAAGTGTTTTTTTTTTTTACATAATAATTGAAATTGTTAGAATGAAAGCCTTTCTGGACTCTTGGTTTTCTTTTCTTTTTTTTTTTTTTTTCAAAGTAATCATTGTGGTTGAAGACTCCCAAATACCGGTAATGAGCTACTTATCCTCTTCATTCCTAGGATCACTAGTACTGAGCCACTGATGACTACTAAAAATGGAAGAAAATAGCACATGGGCTTGCATATTTGTTAATCCTCTGATATAATCCTGTGAAGTAAGCATTATTATCTTTGTTATTTCCAACAAGGAAACAGAGGCTCAGAGCAGTTACATAACTTGTCAGAATAACAAAGGTAGTAGGAGCCCATGAGTTCCAATTGTTGCCTGTGAGTCCAGCACTCAATCTTTCTACTTCACAGTTCAGGATTACAACAGATTGCTGGTGCTGAGGGAACACATATAGCTTTGAATTATTTGATGAAATGGGAAAAAAATAGAAACAGGGACCCACTCCCCTTTCTTTTTTACTCCTGGCTACTTGCATCTCTTTTGCATTTTTTTCTATTGCTTTCCTGCTTTGCAATTGCATAGTTGCTATTTTTTTTTTTTATACTTGAGCATGACTGCAAAGGGGAACCATGTGGCCTTCAAATAAAATGAGAAAACCATTTAAAAAGTGCATTTCATGTGCTGCAACAAACTGATCTTTTGTTTTTTTTGTTGAATGAAATGTGGATCATGAAGTGTATCTTCCTATCAGGATGACTTACCCATGTTAATGGTATTAATGATACTTGAAAGTTGAATACATTTTCTCATTTCATTCATTAATTTTTATGGGAAAACATTTCCAGGATGCTCATTATATTCCAAAACCCATGCTAAACCCAGGCCATGGGACATGAACCCATCTTGCTTTAAGGAAGGGGCTTCAGGTGTTCCTCCATGGCTAGAAACATGATAAACAATGTACTGGTAATTATAAGATAAGTATTACAGTACATTAGTAACAACTTGCAGCCTTGTTTTCCAAGTTTATGTTGATAAGCTCAGTGTAGTCCACTAATTATTTCAGGTGTTTTCATTACATGAAATCTACCACGTGTCAGAGATGACTTAATCTATTTAAGTGTTGAACTGCTAGCAGAACTTGTAAATTTACAGTAATTCAGAATTAGTAAGGAAAACAGTTCACCAGTGTTTGGTTTTATATTTTTATATTGAGGTCCCCAGGTTGGAGAAAAGTGGTATAAAAAGCAAAATTTAAAAAAAAGGCCCATAAAGGATTTCATTCAATCAACTCTTGTTGATGAGCATCAATTTCTACTCAATTTTTACAAATTACAAGCTGAGGCGGTTGGAGGCTGATAGAGCAACATGCTTGAGACCCTAAGGTCTTGGTAAGTCTATTATGTGACAGGTCCAGATCTTGAAGCTAGGTCTACCTTCCGACTCCCAATCTCAGACTCTTTTTACCAAATTGGTGGGCCCTCTTGACTTTTAAATTTTAGGTAAACCATCTAACTGGATGAATGAATAACTACTTAGCTATACGAATAAATAACTGGATAAACAAATAGAGAAGGAAAAACTTCGGACTAGCATAAAACATTCAATCTTTAGTTGGCAAATGAGGCCATTAATGACATTTTGCTCTCTTCTCAAAAAAGGTGACCATGCATTTTCACAACTGTTTCCCAAAAGTTATTTTAATACCAATAGAGGAGAAAGGAGAAGAACTCAGTACAAAAGACTGTTTCTAATTGGTCTAAATTTATCTTTTGGATATACTGGCTACTAAGCCCCTAATTTTCTCAGTTTGTCTGCTTGCAGGTGAATTGCCCTAGGAAGAAACTCAGCAGATTTTAAGATTACAGACCAAGTTGTGTGTGTGAGGGGGTGGGGGGTGGTGATGTGGAAAGAACAAGGGTGGAACAGTGAGGTTTACATTTCTTTTCCCAAAGCAATTGTTTGCTTGAGAAAAAAAAAAGGCTTTCTGCCTTCATTAGAAAACATTGTAGAATTTATAATTTAAAAGCCTTCCCCCCACCCATGGGAGAAAAAAAATTAGAGAAAGAGTTCCCTTTCATTTGCATATTGCAGCAATCCATCAATCACTTACAGTTCATTGTAAAGAATAGCTAAAAATTATTTGCTAAGCAAAGGGAAAGGAAATTGATTTAGGCACAACTCCTAACTTTGCTCATGATCACCCTGTATTTGGAAGCAAGCCTCGACATGTGACCCAGTGCTCCCAGGATGGGTCTCCAGCTGCAGAGGAGGGTTAGGGTGCATGCAAATCTGGTGATGTTGGTAGTCTTTCTAGCCCACCATGGTGGAGGCACTTGAAAAATAAAATGTAGTTAAGGAGACAATCAAACCCAACTGAAGGACCTTTTATATAATATTATATATATGAGAGACAGAGAGTGATCAGTGCAGACACAGCAACCTGGATCAGCCTTTTTCTGTGAGAAGAGGCTGTAAGGTGCACCTGCGACTTGCATGAAGGTTGTGCTGGCTCTGAGTCCCTTCCATCCAGGTAAAAAGAGCCCAAAGGCCCATAAGCACCCCACAAGCTCTTGGCCAAAAGCACCCTACGGAGCTCCTTCTGTGCCTGGGAAAGATCCTAGTCACTGGGAAAGCCTCAGTTATTTAGAACAATCTGCAATGAACCCTCTGGCCAGCAAATATCTGCTCCCCTAGACTCTCTCATCTCTGCAGAGCATTTAAAAAAAACTATTATCCTATTTGTATACAGTAGTATGGTATTAGTGTTAAGTTTCCTGTATTTGATAATTGTAGTGTGGTTATAACAAGGAAGGCCCTAGTTCTTAGGAAATACATACTAAATGCATTTAAGGGATAAAAAGGTCATGACGTCTACCACTTACTATCAAATGGTTCAACAACACTATTACTTATTACCACTATTGTTGTTGTAATTGTTTTATATTGAGCAAATCACAGAGCATTAAGACACATGTAGCCAAAGGATAACAACTGCTGAACCTAAATGAAAGGCATACAGGAGTTCATTGTACTTTTCTGGCATCTTTTTTTTTCTAAGTTCACATCTTTCTAAATAAAAAGAGTAAATATGGAGATATAAAAGAACACTGCCTCCTTCCTCCACTACCACCCCCAAGAATGCGATTGGAAACCACATCTGTGGTTTTAAAAGCACTTCAGAGCAAGAGGCTATTTATTTCGCATGAGTTTGAGCTGGGTTCTGCATATGGAGATAACTTTCAAAAATGTCCAAATAGCAATTCTAAACACTAGTTTTGGCCACCTATCCACTCTGTGCACTCAGACATGACACAGAAAAATGTTGATTTGCATGCACAGGGAGTGACTCTGGAAACAGGTGGAGCATATGGAGGAGGAAAAAAAAAGCTGCTATTTCCAGTGAGTGTTTAAAATTTCCCATGCCTTCTCCTTAAATAATAATAAACTTTGCTATTTACATCGCTCCTTTTATGAAGGATGCTACATGCTTTATAAATATCTTAATAACCCTCAGAATATACCTTCAAGGTGAAAAGGTGTCAGTGCTATTTTACAGTGAGGAAAGTGAGACACAGTGAGGTTAATTGTTTAGATCGGCTCTGAAAATCAGTCACAGATGTCAGGGATGGAAGGGATCTTAAAGGTCAAAGCCCTACTTGATGCATGACCCCCCTCCACACAGCTGCTGCTGAACACCTTTTTAGTTGAGAAATTC